TAATTTCCTTGCAGAATTTAAGAGTTTTGAACTAGGAGAAAAAAAACAAAAATAATATAAATACTTGAAATAAAGATGCTGAAAATTAGAAAAAACTGTCATCCATTAAAGATAAGTAGTATTTTAAAATAACGAGTTAAAAGCTCATTAAGGATATTGAATTTATCAAGAAATTCTCTTTAGCACACAAAAATGCATATGTATTTAAATATATGAAATCCAGACAAGAGCTATGGACAGAGAACTCGGACTGCATCTATACACCAATGCAATGCATGAGTATTCATACAGACTGTAGAATGAATTAACACACCAGCTCTTCAATGGACAGCATATATTAAAACTGCTGTTTTGACCATTTTTAAACAAACGCAATCTAGTTGCATCTTCCAGCTATTTGCAAATGACCAAATGACTACCAATTAAACAGGTTGTATTCACTGATCTCTGTTACAAAATAGTTACATATTTTGCCCACATAGTTTAGATTTAATGCACATTTTATATTCAGCTTCCCGGACATTTTCTTAGCAAAGGTGACAATGGCTTCAGGTATATATTTGTCCATGACATATAATGTAACCAGCAGTACTATATTTTATCTTCACAGATTTAAAAATAAAAGTTGTGCTCTGAAGTAATTCCATTTTTAGAGGATATTTATAAATCAAATCAAACTAAGTTTCTACATTATTTAACATTTATATTTTAAAAGTTTGTATGTGCAGCTATCTAGTAAGAATAAAATCAGAATAAAATCTTATTTCCTCTCCTGTAAATAGACAATCAAAGCACCGTACAGCACAGAAGCAGATTACCTTCACAAACCTCTTTTTAGTTTTATAAATCTGTTAGTGTTTGAGTAGGTTTTGCCTGATGGTTGACAGAGGAGAGCAAAGAATAACCCACTAAAATACCCTCTAAATCCTCAAGGATTTTCATATTATTATAGGTAACTTACACATTGTCACAGTATTAACCTCTCCCCATTATCAGCAATTGTAAGAATCAGTTCTAAAGTAAAAAAAAGTTTTGAGTCCAATCTTCAGCTTATTATAAGATGGAAAATTTTGACAAATTGCTCAAAATGAAAAACATCCAAAATCGATATGATGATTAGGATATTTTGCAAAACCATTCAAAGAAGACTCTTTATCCTGAATGAGGAGTTGAAGATTAGATGTGTGAGCTTTTTCACAATTTTTCCTGATGAATTTACATTTCTTAGCCTCTTACAGAGCTCACACCAAAAATAAAGATAATACTTTTTAAAACTTAAGCTTAAAACATTTTGCTGTAATACAGATCATTGCTTTATCTTGGGAAAAACAAAAAGCTGTCTTTATTATTTAAGTTTATTTCTAAACCAATTAGTAAAATTTTCTCCCTGTCAACTCAAAAAGGGAGTAGGGGCAGAAAAAAAGGAGTAGAAAAAAATCTTCTTGTTAAAATTAAATTGTGTGTGCTTCCTCCTTAAGATGAATTGTATATCTGTTTTACCAGATTTCTTTATTAAAATACTGTATAAGGAGTGGACACCTTTAAAAATGTTAAGAATGTGAAGGCTCTAAAGAGCTACCTATCTTGGACGCTCTTTGTAAAAGGAACAAGTCTCTGAAATGGATTTGGAAGATGTAAAAGCTTAGTTAGGAGTCCAAAAAGACCAACTACTACTAAGGCAATAAGTAGCATTTTAAAACTACAATTGTTTAAGTCATCCGTAACGATCACAGGAGTTTCCTCTCCCTCTTACAGTGTCAGGAATAATAATTACAAAAAAAATAAAAAAAAATAAAAGGCACCCAGCAGAGTCAGTTCCACGGAACATTAGAAAACTCTGCTGCTTAACCCACAAGCTTACCAAACTTCTCAAGTGACAAAAACGTCTGAGCAATTTAACTCTAGAAGTTCACCACTTGCTTGTGGACTACCATGGAGCTATATAGCATAGCAAGTAGCAAATCATAGTGACAAGCATGTTATAGTGCAATGTTTCTCAATCAGTGGTACGAGTAACCTTAGGGGTACGTGAGAAGTCGGGGGGGTGTACATCAACACAACTGAAATTTGGAGAAACCTGAATTTTTGTTTTAAGTTTTACGGCGCTTTATTTTTTTGGTACTTTACACCCAAAAATTTCATCTCCCACCGAGCTACGATTAAGTTGTTTACACAAATGTGTTGCAATGGTAGAAAAAAAAAATTTGTGTGTCTGAAAACTGTTGGTACTTGAGGTACTTAGAACTTTTGTTTAAAAAGGGGTACTTTATTAAAAAAAAAAAAGGTCGAGAAACACTGTTATAGTGGACATGTATAATTATATACATTCTACCACTATGTTCAGTTCAATTATAAAACTTTCCAAAACCTTTACAACCTTCCAGGAAGAAATTTCTCAGCATTGAACACTTCCTGAAGGTAACTGTTTGCAAAGTATGAGCAGAAACTGTTTCTTCCTTTTAAAGAATAAAATTCAGGATAGTGTAATGAGGCTTTTCCAATCACAGTAAGAGAAGAATCTCTTATGGCTTTTTTGAGAGGAGTAGGGAAGGCGCTTAACTCTTGCAGACCGTAAGTTATTGGATAGTGCACTCCAGTGGTTTCTAACCAAATATTTCCACATTTTGAAACGTGTCTCTCTCCTTTTAAAAATAAACTAAGTTAATCTTTCACTACGAAGTCATTACTAAAGCACTCAAAAATCACAAAAGTTAGGAAAATACGACAGAAAGCTACACGTACTATAACCTTTACTCTGCCCCTTTTCATACATGCATGATACAGTCTTAATTACACTTGTTTCAAACAACTTTATACAACATTCACTACACATGTAGAATCTTGTTGTAAATATGTACAAGTCAGTGGATGTCAGACACAGGCTCGAAACTTTTCTGTTTATACAAAAACTGTTCAGAAAATCGTTCTTACTATACAATGTAACAGTAAACGTTCACTGACATGTATACTTTCAACCAAGTTACCTTCATAATAAACTGTCTCATCCTGTGAATTGCACCAAAGAAAGCCTGTGCTGCTGACTGGGAATTATGTAGTATATGACTGCTGCCAAATTTATTAGAATACATATTTTTTAGGAAGAGAACTCTCATAGAGTCTGCGTCAAAGATAACTGCGTCATTATGACAAATTTTTTAAATACACAAAATAAAATAATAATATTAAAAAGTACACATGAAGTTATAGAAAAAGTTCTTTCCTATATATTAGAGCAAACCCTGAGGTTTTTAGTGGTAGTTAATATAACAGCTACCGGATATTCTCATGTTAACAATCATATATTCTTGAAAGCTCAACCAATAAGATGATACTGTGAAAACATCAATAATGTTAAATAAACTACATATAAAATAAGGAAAAAGGACATATTTAATCTAAATTGGTGATCAATTAGGAGAGACAGAGAAGTTAGTTAAGCTGTTTAACAGTTGAGACAGAGTCCAAAATGGATAGAAGCAGGGGTCTGGAATTTGTATAGTGGGAGATCTGAGAGCCACTGAACCAAACAAACACTGTATATGATAAAAACCTATCTCAAGCCAGGGGGTGCCCACATGGCCTCGTGTCTCCTAGTTCTCAAAACTTGAAATAGATTCAACAGGAAAGACCTGTTCAAATGTGGAATTTTCATCAAATAACTGTGCCTCATATTAAGACGACTATGAAAGGGAATATGCCATGGAGCATATGAAAATTATTTCCTGCCACAACAAATGCATGGAGTTAATTGTTTTGTTGAATTATATTACAGGTAGAAATGGAAAAATAATGGGAAACATTTGGACTTGAGTACAAAGACCAAATGTTTTTCTATCTTTCAATTCAGCTGCACAGTGAATGAGAGTAATATCAGATTTCTTATCTTTCCATTTACTTTTTCACCCAATTACTTAGTTTGCAAGGAAACTTACCTTCAACCCACATAGGTGATATTTAGCTGCACAGTTACAATTAAATATACATAACTTTTGGATGGAGAACTTACTTTTCAAGGTGAACAGTAATCAGAGGAGAACAGAGGTTAGTAGAAGGCTTTACTAAGCCCAGCGTCAGAATGGACTCATGTAATCGATTCACTGTTTCAACTTCACCTTGCATGGCTGCAGCATTAAGGATGTGGAAAAAGGATGTGACTGTTGTATCTCTGATAGGAACATCCTTCTCTTTCATTTCCTTTAGAATGTTAATAGCATCTACAATGAAATAACACAAAAGACCCTTAGGTAATTTCATGTAGGGATAACAAACTGCTATTAAGTATAATGCCGATTTCAAGTTAATTACTACTTGCATTTCTAAACGAGACTACAATTATAAATCCACAATAGCATGGGTTTTATCATTCACTGCAACTTTGACTACAAATTATAGGTAGGAACTGTGTGCCCACTTTGCACCACATAACCCTGTGCAGTCTGCCCTATAGCTGCAAGATCCTACTAAATGGATGCTTTTATCGTTCAATGCTAACATCTGCTAAATCACACCATTGTTTCTTTAGCAGATGGCTTGTCACGAGGCCAGATAATAAAGATGTGTTTACACTGAATATACAGCCAGACTAATGGTCTGATACCGATAGGGCCTGTTTGCAGTGTCGATACTAATTAGCCAAGGAGAGCCAATGAAAGCTTTCTAACAGACTGCATGTTAAAACATTAGGTTCATTAAGCTTCATTAGAAAGGCAGAAACAAACATTTTGGAATATGGAATAAGTGCATTTTTATAATGTTCTTAATTATTGCACAGGCAAAATGTTTTGACCACTTTACATAAAAGCAGTAAAAGCAGCCTCATCTTTTAAAACAGCTTTACAGATCACAAGTGTACCACAGAAAATAATGCAGCCATGTTTTTTCAATGTAGAGGTGACCAGGATCAAATTTATCATCACTTGGCAGGGGGAAGGATTTTGAATATAATTCTAGCAAGTGATCAAGTGAAATTCCTATATCATCATCCAAGGAGGGGAAAAAAAGCTATAATTTTACATTAACAGAAATGGTAAGATTAAAAAACTGAAAGACTGAGTTATGTTGGCTAGACTTTATTGCTCTGCTTTAAGACAAATAGCAACATCCTTTAGATTATAAAAATTAACCTAAGAACTGCCTACATTGCTCTAAAGGATTCAGACTTCATGTCCAGTAGATGGCTACAAATTCAGTCTGTGTGTGTATTGCATGCAATATACTCATGAAAAACAAAAATTACTAATCAGCCTGTTACAGTATTTGAACTGCAAAGTAAATAAAATATAAATCAATATCAACACTAAAAGTAGTTTTAAAAAAATCTTCTTAACAAAAGTTACTGGATTTTTACTACAGTGTTTAGACCCTTACAAGAAGGTTATGTTTATAGGTTCCATGTTCAGCCTTCAGACCTTCTTAAGCAAAAACAAAGCCATTAGTCTAGGCACATACGCAATTTGTGCCATAAGTCATGATCTTCAAACTCAATCCAAACAGCAATGCTAATAAAAACTAGCTGCAGAAATGCAAAAAGCACTGAGCTGTGCAAATGTAAATGACAAGCTTGCCAATCCATTAAAACTAATGGCCTGTACTGTCCAAGCATCTCTGGTTGAATTCACATGCAAATTTGTATGCAAAATGTTCAAGCACTTTGCAGGACATGATATACCATTAATATCAACTCACATTTTTATTCTAGTGGCAAGATACCTTTATTATATAGCAGAAACTTATACTGAAAGCAAATGGTTTACCTTCTAGTCTGCCATGCTTTCCTAAGACTTTCACCAAGGCTAAATACTTGTTTGTGTCAAGAGCAACAGATGAATCCTTACGGTAGCTAAAAATTAGAACATATTAAAAACTGCATTAATAGAAGGTCAGGGTTTTTAAATGTATATGGAATGAAGGTTTAGTCTTAAAGACAAAGTAACAAAAGGTATGGAATTCATTACACAGATTAGGGATTTGAACATATTTTCATGTACACGGTTAACTGATGAGCCTGGGCTCATTGGTTAACCATTATGGTTACACACAGGCCCTCCCTATTCCTTTTTCCCATGCAGCTGCTGCTGTATTAGAGGCAGCAGCGCAATCAGCAAGGAGGCAAAAGGCAGCTTTTAAGCTGTGGGGCCACCTGCACCCTGTGCTGCTGCCCCGTGTGTAAACATGTCATAGTTTAAATTTTTAATGGTTACACATTTACAAAAATAAACACATTTTAACATCCCTGACACAAACATTAGAATAAAATATTAGAGAGAGAATCTGACAAAGTATGCCATTAAAGTAGATTTTTCCTCTTTAAAAAAAGGGTATTAGACAGCAAAGAACCTTTTCAGAGAGTTTAAAAAAAGGAGTGTTTTTAATCTACTTGACAGATAGTGCTTAAAGAGCAGGGAAAAATAAGACACACCTCTTCCATAATTAAGACAAATTTCTTCCTGAAAGCACCCTGAGTATTACAGTGTAAATAGTACTGAACATAAAGTCATCTACTTTTTGTAACCCCTCAATTTCTACTATACATGGCATTGTTTCTTTATTTGAATCATTTTCATTCTTTCCCAAGGCTACTGAAGAAGGAAGATGTCCATAATTATAAATGTGCACTTTTTATGGCATTGTTGACAGTTCCATATATTCATAGCATATCACTGAGCCTTGATCTACCTTTGAAGCACTACTATTAGACTCAGAATCATTACTTGATAAAATCTCATGATGAGGTATTTACAATAAAAAAAAAAAACAGCATGGAAAAAGGTACTACATATACACAAAGCAAGTTTCCCAATGCTAACCAGTGAGCCATTTTATGTCTCTCCCAACACTGACAGAGCTCCATCTGCATTACAGATACCTGACTTGAATTCCACTGTCAGCAACGCAAGAGGGAGAATAAAAAGTATGCAAAAGTAATACATAACCATTATGATTCACTGTTAACATTAAAATAAATTTTAATTTGGGGGTGGGGGGGGGAGGAAGGGACAAAGAAAAAGAGGATGCTCTGTTAGACAATTTGCTCCCAGACAAACCATGCGTAACACATTTTAGCTGGGAGCTAATTTTCACAACCAAGATATAATCTCTAAAAATAGAGTTTTAAAAAGGAAATGTTTGCTGACAGGTCTTAAAATATAATGTCACTTACAAGTATTGCTATTCTGATGCAAGATAAATGCAGATATATTACCATTTTTTCAAAAACAAACCTGAATTTTAAGGCTAAAGGCTGTTGACAAAAACCATCACTATTTGCCTATATAAGATAATACATTACACACAGTTTCAAAAGTATGATAATGTAATAAGAGTTGCTTATTTTATCCAAAATTCTTGACCTTTCTTAAGAATTATACACGGGGAAAAGCTAATTAAAAATGTATGAAGGGGTTAATACTAAAACTACTTAATTCAACAAGATCTGTGTATCAGCATAAGTCTCTGTGACATGTTTTAGTGCCGGTGTACTTACACTTCTTCTTTCAGGTTCATTGCATCTTCTGCATTATCATGTCGACAGCACAAATTTATCAAGGCTGCATAGCCACCAACCACCATGTCCGGTTCGTATTTGGCTTTCACTTCAAGGGCTTTTTGCATATTCTAAAAAAAGAGGAACAGAACAAAAATGTGAACCATGGAAAAAGTCAATACGACATTAGGAATGCTAGGGTTCAGTATGTAGCTATATGAATAGATTTAGTATTTTAATACAAAAAAAATTATGTTTGTGAAACAAAGCTGGTATTGCTTCAACTGATTTTAAAAGTAAGTTATTATAGAAAATAAATTTTCCTATTCCCAAAATGATACTGTTCAACTTAGCTGAAAGGTGTATTTTAATCACAGTGTCTATAATGCTTTAATACAGACTGATTGTTGTTGTCATACAGAAATATAGATAGATATGTATGTACAATGCCATGATTTAATTTTATCAGGCACCAATATCGTAAAATATAAAATTAAAAAATAAAGCAAAAAACAAGTTCATAATCCAACTAACAATCAGGCTACTTCAGTATTTGCCATAATCTTTTAAGATATGTATTTTGCATTGCTATTTATGCAATTTAATGGGTGCCATATTAAAGCTTTTGATTTATCAGACTGTTCTTATAATCTCAGGTACAGCATTATAACAGACAATCATCTGAGTAACAGAATCTTCCCATAGGCCGGATTTACAGCAATACTGATTATGCTATAATCTTAAACACCGTTGTGGCTCTTTGTAAAACCATGGGTATATAACAAAATCATACTCAACAAGAAATTGGACAAAAGTCTGATGATATCCCACAAATTGCAGGCACACTAAAATGAATATGAGCTGTATACAGCTGGCCGCTTGCCGAATGAAGGCAAGAGCCTCTTTATCTCAGAAAAAGCTTTCCTCCAGCAGGAAAATGGAATTTCAATCCCTGCATTAACAACCCAGTAATATTTGACTTGCAAATGACTACTGCATGTATCAGTTGCTTGACAATCTAGATATAAGAGACCGGAGCCATGGCTTGAAAGGACATTTGGCATGTATGATAAACCTATCACAGCTGTTACTATCATTCACTTTGCAGATTATCGTAAACAAACTTCAGCAACCCCAAAACATGTCATTCAAAATGTAGCTGAAATTAGTTAACCCTTTTTATTTAATTGCTTTTTTGCATTTATGTTTGATTTATAAACATCAAACCTTGAAACCTCAAGCACTGCACTTGTCCTTGCTTAGCTACATCTTTACATAATACAGTCATGTACATTCTTTTTAAATATAGCTCAGCATTTGCAATTATCTCTGCATTGCTCAAGTTACCTCTTCTGCACAAAGAGCAACTATAAGCTGTTTAAGGACATTGCCAATAGGTTGCTTTTCAGCTTTTAGCTTTTCCAGTTCCTCCTCCAAAGACAACACTTCAAGTTCAGTGTTCTAAGAAAAGGTGATAAAAAGAAAAAGTTAAAAAATAAAAAAAATAAAGTATAGGCCATGTTGCCAAAGGAAGTTCATTCATAATTCAAAGGAAAATTTATAACAATTAAGAATACTGTAGCTTATTAAAGAGATGATGCTAGCTAAACACTTGTGACAAAAAACAGAAGGCATGGGAGTTTTGATGTCGTAAAAGCAGAGAGAAGAGGCCTGTTTCTCTCTCTGACCTAGCCACACTGGAGATTTAAAGAAGACTTGATGCCACACAACTACCACAACACTGGATTTATACTCCTGACATTCAAGAAATTCAGAGTGCCTAAGTTGATTAAACCTCAAACCACCACTGTAAACTGAATTTTAACAGGTAGGGAAATGGAGGAATGGAACCTAAGTGATTTACCAGGGTCAACCAGCAAGTCCAAGGGAGAACTTACACATTTTGACTCCAGTCTTGTGTATTATCCACTAAACTGTTCTTTCTTCCTCACGGCCACCAAACTCCTCCCAAAATGGGAATACTTTTAGTTGTAGACTACTCAAGTATATGCCTGAGAACTAATTAATGCTTTCATACATCATCAGAATTAAAATCGGATTACTATGCCACAAAGAAATAAACTATTAGTGAATTTACTTACTTTTGGAATGTCTGCTGCTGACAACTTTTCACTATCCACCACTAACATTATATCCTAAAATGTAATAAGACATAATAAATTAAAAGGACAAAATGAACTGAAGGTACTAAAACTACTGTGGCAAGTTAATTCTAATTACACTGTATAAATAGCTTTTTCCCTCGTGCTTATTAGATATACAAACAGGAAAAGACTGATTCTTGAAAATATTTTTATGAAATGTAGCTTTTAATGAAGTGTTTACAAAATTAACCAAAATTATTTTGGCAAGAATATATACATAGAACACACACACCGCATATATATTTTAAAGAAACAAATAGTTGCTATATAACTACAGACCTTAATTAATTCAGGAACATGATAGGAGTCCAGCACGTTGCGAATGCCTCTGTAGATGTTTGGAGGGATTACTATATTCTGTTTCAAGAGGTGGGGGGGAAAATTATATGAGTTTTGAAACACAACCAAACTGAAATTTGTTGAATAGAAATTATCTCAGACATAATTTAAGTCTCCAGCTCTTGCATGTCATTGAGAAGTGGTCTGGTTGTACTTAAAAGCAGCAATTTCAAATCTAATAGATACATGTCAGGCAGGACAGGCATTATGTAGCAAAAAATGAAATGGTACCATCTTCTTCAGCTGATGGAAGTATTGTCTCAAATGCTCCTCCTTGGCCTGTACCTCTGAGTCACTCATGCTGTCAATCAAGTTATAAAGAAAATAGCCAACAGCTTCTGTGGAAAAAAACAAGAGAAAGCATTCCACTAAAATTACTGAGACTGTCATGTTATCAAGATTAATTTATAAGAAATCATTTTGGTGTGAGATGTCACCCTGATGAGAGGCTCTGAAATGGCAACAATGATCACTGAGGCATAGAGATTATGTGGTTTGGGAGCACATATCTAACTGGTGAGTGAAAGGAATATTAATTATTTTCAGACCCAGTGACAGCTTTTCAGTACAGAATCTTACTTCAATCTATTTTTTCCACCACTGTGTGACAGAAATGGTACTGCTCAAGGCCTTCCTCCCCTTCCCTATCCACTACCCCAAATAGTTGCCACAAATATTTTGTCATTGCTCAAAAGAAAATATAGCTTCCTAAAGCTTTACATATTTAATTCTGTATCTTTTACACATTTTTAATATTAAAATGCTTAGAGCCAGCTAGTGCAACATAAACAGAGTAAAGAATATTAAATCATCTTAACAAGTAGATCCAATAATCCTGTGAAGACCTGACTATTAGCCAATGAAAACTCAAGATTAACAAAGATGGCTTAGCTAACAGCACTAATTTTCTTATGCACTCAAGCGTAAAAATGTATACAGTCATATATGTATTCAAGCCTCATGAAGGAGATAAGACCTTTCTGAAAGGTTAGGTTTCCTGTACAAGACTTGCACTCAGAAAAATAGGAAATACATTGTAGATTTTTTGTTTTATTTATCTAGTTTAAATGAAAGCTGAGTTAGCTTGTTTCAAAATAGTTTATTTGGATGGATATGTGCCATTTTATTTGAGAAAATTAAGAGGTTATTAAAATGAATACTAGTGGGAAAAGATTCTATTTAAACATTTTTACTAAATGAGTAACTGACAATGATTTATTCTAAATCTCCATTTTATTTAAGATACTTATTTTTCTAAATATGAAATATATTTTAATTAAAAAAAATAATGAAAGATGTCACTGGATCTCAAAAAAATATGCTGTGATTATCAGGATAAAGATTTTGCCCATCATGTTTTCAAATTTCACTTTCAAAAAGAAGCAATCAGTGTTTACTGTTGTAATCCCTCAAGCCCATCATTACACAGAAGAACGGATTTGTGGATAAGTTACAATCATAGAAATTGAAACTCTACCAGACGGTCCTGGAGGCGTCTGGCAATAACGTCCATCCTTGTACAACAGTTCAGTTATCTGGTAAGACAAAATAATCGTACATTGCAGTCAAGAAAAGCAAGCTAGTACAAGTAGTATCTAAAATTGAATTCTCCAAATAATAAAGTACCTCTCTACTAAGTTATTACTCTATACCACACCATAGTAATTCAGTAGGAAAAAATAAAATACAAGGAAGTTTTTTGTAAATAACTGTTTTTGCCATAAAAATATATAATGCAAACTGAAATGTTTTCTGCAGTTTCACAATTAGACTACATTCTATTCCGTTTATGTATCATCCTATAAAGTAAGTGATCATTGCTTATAGCAATCATTAACTAATATCACTCCGAGAATTGTTAAAATTATGTTCCAATTTGCTGAAAATCCTGACATTGGCCCATAGAGCTTTCAGTTTTCTTACAGTTTGAAAAAGTGAACCTGTGCAGAAAAAGAGATCTCTCGCACACTGTTAATTGGAGTATTTCTAAAATGTAAATGTTCCATATCAGTTGCAGCCTCAGTTGAAAACATTAACTTTTTAAAGACACACTGTACACACATAAAAAGCACCATCAGAAACATTTAGCTATTTTGCCTTAAAAACAAGTGTATAAAGACTAATCAGTCTGACATTCACCCAATTAGTTATATAAAACTGAACAAGGAGTATCTATATTTTATTTTAGGAAAGGAATTCTCCCTGCATTCCTTCTTTACCAAAACAGACAATTAAATGCTCACCCTAAATACAAAAAACCTTTTAAACATGTTTTTAAATACAGAGCTACAGCCATTACATAATGTCCTAATTTCATTCTCTCTCAAGGATATAAGTGTTTTATATTTGGCTTTTTCTTACCATGATGCTTGTATTGGTAAGAAAGATATTCATGTGGTTACCTAAATACTGAGGGAGCAAGGCTCTATTTCAAATAATAGGAAAAAGGAGAAAAAACATTCATCTTAACTTTCTATTAGAAAAGAACCAACAAAACCAGACACCTGTTGTGCTCTGTAACACTTACTTCATATTCAGTTCCACCAAGAAAACACAATGTGAACAGTTAAACTACAGCATTTTCACTCTTGTTTGCTTACTCATCCTTGGGAATGTATTAAAAAAGTAACAAGATCATACAGCCCTCTAGACTCCAGAAATCAAATTCCAAAATGAAATGACAGGAATGGATGAGAAGAAATAATCAAGAGCGACTATTACTTTTTAAAAACACTGAACATTATAAGAAGTCTCGTAAATTAAGATTCACTAGAAGTACAATCTTGTTCATTCTGACATTTTTCAATTTCAATACTTGACTTCTGAATTTCAATATAGCTTTTTTTCTAAAATTGGATGCCTGAAGAAAAATTCATCTACTTGTAAATCTAGCAAACAACTTCAGCTGACAAGAGAAACTGGGGCCTCTCCTTCCCAGTTGTAGGAAAGAACAGCAGCAGCTCAGGGTACAGTCTCATACTTATGACATCATTATTTGGTATCTCCAAACATTTTTCCAGGTTCCTCCAGCAATGGGAGGGAAGTGTGACATTCTTGATCTTTCAAACATAAAAAAACACGCAAAATAAACAAACGACAAAAAAAATCCAAAACAAAAACACTCCCAAAAGAGACAAAAAACCTTCCTTCTAAAAAAAGGAAAGACTTTCCTTCCACATCAGAAAGAGGAAATGAAGCACAAGAAGAATCTACTTTTGCTTCACAGTTCATGTTATATATTAACTGACTTAAACCCAAATAAATGACATTCTAAATTACAATCTACTGTGACCTCAGTTTTCCTCATAGGCTGATTGAAGAACAAAATTATTATGAAAACGTTCTGTGATCCATGCAATAATTCAGCATAGCATAGCAAAATAGGTACAGAATAGTACCTTTACAAATAAAACTAACCCCCAAAAGCAAAGTGCTGAACTCAAAATAGTGAAATAGTGAAAGCTTCTTGCTCATAGCTTTATTAATACATCTCAAATCCTGGTCTGTCTGACTTCACTCTCAGTACTCTGCAAGGGCCACCCCCAAATTAACACAATTGGTAATACATAACATGGACCAATTTCCATGACTGCCTTCACTTGGAATTTACTTGCTTTTATTTATTTACATCAGATCCTCCATGTTACTTCAAAATAGTAGTAACAGTGCAATTTTTTTCCCCCACTTTAAAATTTTGTTTTTCGAGTACTAGTAAACATTTGAAGAGAAAAGGAGTCACAGGAATTGGCTCCTGAACCAACAAAGTTGTGTTAGGTTTAATAACTGTTTAAACTATACAAAAAGTTTTTATACTTGTTATACAAAGAATTCATGGTAGTATCATGTGTAGTATTCATGGCAGTGGCACTAACATATCAGTTTTTTCCTCAATATGCCTACCATACAAACCTAATATTACTACTATGCATGACCAGATTAAGTAATTTCTCAAAGACAAATGTCATGATCAGAGATGTTACTGTCAGGGCTGCCAGCAGCTGAACTCAGATTGATTGAATTACATTATAAACTTGTAGCGTAGAGATTTTATTTTGGAATTCATTCCAAATTGCTCTACTTATAATTTCAGCTTTATGATCTTAGCTTACCTTGCTCCAAAGATCTACATTCTTGGACCTGAAGAGGGCAGCAGAGGATAAAAATTAACAGTAGTAAGATAATGTTTTAATTTAATAGCAATACTGTTTGCTTTTTAAAATATATGAATACACAATCTGTGTACAGTAAATATTAATCTTACACTGGATTATTTATCAAACTTTTAAAGTTTATATAAGACTATCTTCTCTCACAGATATGCATTTCACATAAATACTTGTTTCTGACATACATATTCATTTGTTTGTCTTGTTTAAAAATGACTCACTATACATACAGCTACCATTAGGATGACAGTGCGATTTATATTATTTTATCAGATAACTGTACTAATATTTGTACTTCAATATAGTCGGTGTTTCATTCACATCAATTTCAGGCAAATACAGAAGAAATAGGAGGTCATATTTCATGCAATTAGCATTTGGAATATATTACTGCAAAGTCCAGAGAGTCCCAACACTAAAATTAGATTATAAAAAGGAGTGATTTTTTTCTAAACAATTTTTGTAATTATACATGCAAAAAATGAAGTAATCAAAGATTACAAAAAAAGTTCTCACCTTTACCACATATTTCACAGTGTAATTGCATTATGGGCACTTCTCATTTTTGCCTTTGCAACATCAAGCCTACAGTTAGGATCCCCTGCAGACAGAGGCTGCTGGCGGTGCTGCCTCTGCCTGGCCTGCGATCTGTCTAGGCTATCACAGACAGAGGCTGCTTCGAAGCAGCGGCCCCTGTCTGCGGGGGAGCGGTGTCCCACCTGGGAAAGCTTGGGCCTGCTGTGGGCAAAGGCTGCTTTGCGGCAGTCTCCCCCCCCCCATGCCACACTGCTGCCTCTCAGAAGCAGCAACATGGGGGGAGGGGGGGAGGTCAGGTGGCACTGCGGAGACAGTGATGGGGGGGAAAACCAGCTTTTAAGCCAGCTCCCCCCTGCCCTCAATACAGCAAGTCAACTCTACTAACAGATAAGCCAACTCAACTACTCACTTACAGCCCTAGTTTGGCCAGGAGGCTGTCAAGTGCTGGTACTTCAGATGCCCTTCCCCCCTCCTCCCCCCACTGCCATGCTACTCCTGCCCTCAGCCTTGGAAATGACCTCTGGGAGCCTCCTGCTTGCTGTGTGGGGTGGCGGAGAGAGAAGAACAGGGTGCTAATGTCAGGGTGTTCCTCTCACCCCACTCTTCTATACCATTCTTCACAGTAAGCAGGGTGGGGCCCCATGGAAGGAGTGAGGCAGGGCAAGGATCAGAGGTAGATCCTGGATTGACTTAAATTCAATAAGTGATATTGTGCTTTAAAAGACTGGAGACCACTGATCTAGAAAGTAGAAGTCCAACCCCACATCAAAACGACCAATCAAAATAATAATAATGATAAGCTTAAACAGGAAAGATGTAATTTGTATTTTATGCTTTTTTACCTCCCATAAAAATATTATCAAACTCTCAGCTTAAACAGGAACATGGATAAAGTATTCAGAAAAAAATCAGGGTGTTCTTTTTTTAAAGCACATTGAACTTCTATTTCATTTAGACTGACAGTAGCACAAAACAAAATGCAGTGTCTGAGTTTCAGTGAGCTTTCCAGACTAACTGATCTAACATGTCACTTCATAGTGATGTCAACTAACTGATCTTATCAGATCACTTGACTCTTTTTTGTTTGTTTGTTTAAACAAACACCACACCACTACACACAGCAAAGATCCAATGTCCAGCTAATCATTTGGGGATTCTTCTACATGAAAACTATTGCAGCTTGAGGCAGAAAGGGATCAAGTTATATGAAGATTCTAGTCCAGGGGCAGTCAATTTTTAATGGAGGTCCACGCCAAGATTTTGGTAAATGGTTAAGGGCCACACAGGGTTGGTTCTGCTTTGGGCAGGGGGCTGGACTCGACCTCATGAGGTTTCCTCCAGCCTAGGGATTCTACAATTCTATGGAGGAGGTGCGGGGTCTGGAACAGCGGGTGGGGTGTAGAAGAGAGCTTGTGATAGAGGCCTGTGGTGCAGGAGGCAGTGTAGGGTCTGAGAAGAAGTCTGGATGAAGGAAGGGGTTGCAATCTGAGGCAGTGGTTTGGGGTACAGGAGAGGATTCTGGCCTGGGGAGGGGTGTAGGAAGGTGTGCAGGGTCTAGGAGAGAGTTTTGACCTGGAGGAGGTGGGGAGAAGAGGATACAGAGGGTTTGGGTGCTGGCCTGAGACAGGTAGCTGAGAGGAGATGGGGTGGAGTGTCATAGGCAGCCTGTGGCTGAGAGGTGCTTACCTAAGTGGCTCCCAGATAGCAGCTCTGCAGACTCCATTCCTGAGGGTTGTTTCACATGACTCTCCTCCAGCACAGCAAGGGAAAGGGGGCCAGAAACTGGCCAGTGGGAGCTTGGGGATTTTGTTAGGGGGTGAGGACAGCGCGCCAAGCTTTCTTCTCCCTACCCAGCTTGCAGAGCAATTAGCAGTCTACTGTTTAAAGTAGATGCTCCAGCTCTGCAGTAAGGGTGTGGAGAGGCAGGCATGAGTGAGAACTGGCGGCTTGGCAGGCCCAATCCGGCCCACTAGAACAGGGGTGGGCAAGAGGCAACTAGTCTTTAAAATCTACTTGTGTAAATATTCAAGGTGGATACTTATTTCCAAATTCTTGCAAGGCTTGACATCACTACAACGATGCCGGATTGGTGACCTGGAATTTCTTCATGTGGGAGTTTGCTAGATCCTCAGCTTCCACAGAAAAAATTCTAGCCATGACAGTTGCAAACAAAACATTGACACCTCACATCTTAATGGGTAGTGAACTCAATTGCCCAAAGATAATTTAACTGTCAACACTGATACTGTTTCATGCCTCAGAGAATTACTATGAAGAGCTAAACAGTCTGCTTCTGGCTCATTTTGGTCCTTAGATTGGCTGGTGTGTAGACGATATCATCCCCAACTGCTAATGTGACCTTTTGACTCAAACATCCAGTAGGGAGGTCAGAAATCAGTTATTTTAGTTATTGTATAGCTGCAACAACTTTTAGCAGTTACACAGTTACTAAAATGCTCCCCCCTCTGGGCAGAGCTGGTAGTCAGTGCACTCCCAGCGTCACTCCCAGAGAGCCCCCTGCCACCTCACCTCGCACAGTTGCAGCCAGGAGCCAGTTCACAAGGAAAGGCAGTTTAAAAAAATATGAACTCCCTGTGCAGACTGGCTCCCACTTGCCACCCTCATCTGCGGGGAGCTCAGCCCTCCCACGAACAGGGGCTACTGCCACCCCCTGTTGCTGCCTCAGAGGCAGCAGCATGGCGTGGCAGGCGCCTCCCTTGAGTGCTCCGCATTTAAAACTCGGACTGGTAGGTTGGGACCAAGCAGGTCTGAGTTTTAAATGCAGATCACGCAGGTAGGGAGGGTGTTGTGGTTAACCCGAACCATTAACGGATAAACACATATTGGTTAAATGGTTAGCCGGCTAACTGCTAACATCCCTAATTCCCAGAAGGGGAAGAACAGATCCTAGGGGGCATCTGAACTCCTCGAAGGGGAGTAAATCAAATAGTTCTCCCTTTCTCACCCAATAAACCTAGGTCCTCTCCGAATAAGCAGGGGAGGGCAGGCTGTTCTCGCAGTACAGTTTACTTCCAGACTTTGGTGGCTCCTACTCCTCACATTGCTGGAAGCTGATCTGCACTCTCAGGCAGACATGACCACAGTAGTTACTCAGTTCATGTTTTCAAGCTTTTCTTCCAAATTGTGTTTTTTAAATGTAAAACCGAAATTCCAATACCTTCATGTTACTTTGTGAACAGAGGTCTAGAGCATGTACCTCTTATAAATAAACTAGGGAAATACAACATAGATGGGGCTACTATAAAGGTGGGTGCATAACTGGTTGGATAACCGTTCTCAGAGTGGTTATCAATGGCTCACAATCATGCTGGAAGGGCATAACAAATTGGGTTCTGGAGAGATCAGTGTTGGGGGTTAGTTCCATTCAATATCTTCATCAACAATTCAAATAATGGCAGAGAGGTTTAGGTTGGCCATTAGGAAAAACTTCCTAATCATCACGATAGTTAAACACTGGAATAAATTGCCTAGGAAGTTTTAGGAATCTCCATCACTGGAGATATTCAAAAGCAGGTTGGACAGACACCTGTCAGAGATAATCTAGACAGTGCTTGGTCCTGCTGTGAGGGCAGGGGGCTGGACTTGACTATCTCTAGAGGTACAGTTCTAGTATTCTATAAGCTAGCTTTCCTTGTCACTGTTTCGATCATTATTTCTTTAAGTGGTATGGTTTTGCTTAAACCTCTTACCACAGGCCTTAGTATAATTCCCCCCATCATTAGGTTTCCACATATTTGCCAAGAGTGGCATTCTAGGAAGAGAACTCTACTCCCATTCCCACCACCATCCTCAACTAGAACAGTGATGGTGTTTCACGTACCTGGCTCACATCAGTGCTTGTTAAGTCTTCATAATGTAAATTTTGACATTACAAATTTTGAAGTAGGATAGAAACCTATTTATCTAACTTTCTATTACCCAGCTATCCACATTAATTGAATAACCAGGACTACAGAGCCAAAAGCCAGTGATTTCTCCTGTGGCCACTAGATGGTGCTGTAGCACCACACTTTCCCATTCTCCAGATTTTTGATTATCTGATCTGGCCCCAGTCCCAATTAGATCAGATAAATGAGTTATGATTAAATTTATTAGGCCCATCACTTACGCAGCACTTTACAAACACAAATCAAGACAAATTCCTGACCTGAAATGCTTACAATTGGACAGACAATGGAGAACAAATAAGATAAAATATAAGCTTCAGAGAGGTAGCCGAGTTAGTCTGTAACTGGAAAAACTTAAACAACAACAAATAGTCTAGTGGGTACAACCCACTTCTTCCCATGAAAGCTCATGATACCATCTACATGTTTTGTTAGTCTTTAAGGTGCTGCTAGATTTTTTTTTTAATAAAAGATAAGGTAATACATCATCAGTACATGAGATGGGAGTAAACTACTAGTTTATGTCATGAGAGATTGTATGATGAGACAGACAGTCACTGCATTTAAAGCAGAAAGGCAGGAGTGTTCTGGACTTTTTGACCTTTTAGTGGAAACCCCATTAAGTTTAAGTTTTAGACTTAACAACAACCGTGAAAAATAATATAAATCTGGGATGTGGGAAGGGAGATGAGATCAGTTACAAAGAAAAAAATAAAAAGTTTACTTTATGCAACCTTACCTTCTAAATCCTGAAATGAGACAGCCTTTAAAATGAAACAAATCCACAGAATGCATACTTGATGAAGACACTGTAAAGACAGATAGCCTTATAAAAAAGTTATCTAGTCAACTACAATAGGATCTAATGGAAGTGACAGTTTTTCCTTATCACGTAAACATTAATAATCATTGTGAAGCACCATTAGAAAATATAGCAATTGCCAGATTTTTAATCCAAAAGCAAGATCTAGTCCCTAGAAGTGGAAAGTACTGGATACTGCTGTAGTAGGCAGATGCTGGATAATCAGTTCTGCACATTAGATCCCATCCTGCTGTCTAAAAGTAAGAGACTAGTCCAAGACCTTGTCTACACTACACAGTTTTATCAGCAAAAGTTAGGTTTCATTGACAAAACAGTGGAAGTGTACATACTACAATGTTACTTTGGCCAACAAAACTCTCCTGGAATGATGACAAAATAAAACCAACTTTTTGGGGCAAAGTCATATTGACAGTGTCAGTGTAGACACTGCTCTTGGTTATATTGCTGTAAATAGCCTCCAGGAAATATCCTGCAATGCCCACTCTGGTGAGTAGTTTGAATTCCACTATCCTACAACCACGTACACAGGCATCCACTCCTCCTCCTTCAAAGGCACAAGAATTTTTGAAATTCCACTTCCTATTAGCTCAGTGTGAGGAACTCACAATGTATCTTTGAAGCTGACGATGGCAGCTCCATGCATCAAATGCACTCCCCCTTAGAAACAATCCCACACTTCTACTGCCAAGAGCCTCATGGAGTCTTCAGAGAGGTTGGAGGTGGTGAACACTGAACCTAACCCCAAGGATGAAGTCTTGGATGAGATCGAGTTGAAAGACAATTCCAGGGTTGTCCAGTGACAAGGTGATCCAGGAATGCTTTTCTAGGAGCGGTCTAATGAGTCTCAGCAGTCAACCTCTGACGTGTATGATGAAGCAGAGAAAAGCGCTGTTAAGTGATACTTTGAGTTGATGCTGCTCAATTCTGTGGTAGAGCTGTCGTTTGCTCTGTATTTAGTAGAAGTGGGTGGAGGGACAGAAATGTACAAGACTAGCTGGCTACGTCTACACTGGCCCCTTTTCCGGAAGGGGCATGTAAATTTCAGCAGTCGTCGTAGGGAAATCCGCGGGGGATTTAAATATCCCCCACGGCATTTAAATAAAAATTTCCACCGCTTTTTTCCGGCTTTTAAAAAAGCCGGAAAAGAGCGTCTAGACTGGCCCCGATCCTCCGGAAAAAGTGCCCTTATGGGCTCGTCTACACTGGCCCCTTTTCCGGAAGGGGCATGTAAATTTCACTAGTCGTCGTAGGGAAATCCGCGGGGGATTTAAATATCCCCCGCGGCATTTAAATAAAAATGTCCGCCACTTTTTTCCTACTTTGAAGTAAGAATAAGAGCCTCCGGAAAAGGGCACTTTTTCCGGAGGATCGGGGCCAGTCTAGACGCTCTTTTCCGGCTTTTTTAAAAGCCGGAAAAAAGCGGCGGACATTTTTATTTAAATGCCGTGGGGGATATTTAAATCCCCCGCGGATTTCCCTACGACGACTGCTGAAATTTACATGCCCCTTCCGGAAAAGGGGCCAGTGTAGACGTAGCCGCTGTGTTTGAATGTGCTCCACATTCCCCTATGCAGCAGAACAAAGATTCCATGGGAATCCTCCAGACATATCGCAAGGAAACTTTCCTGGAGGTACTCTTCAATCCTCTGTTGAAGGTTCCTCTCCTAGGATGCTTTGTTCTTTCCCATTGTAGGAAACTTTCCTGCTCTACCAGGAATCACTTGTGCAGGTAACAAAGCAGCACACAGGAGCAGCATTAGAACCCATAAGCATGCAGGAGAGGCACCTCTGGAGACACTGGCTTCAATGACCCCCCACATGTGGAAGATGGTGACAATGTACAATACTGTCCCAGTCACTTGTACTGATCCCCTTAAAAAAAAAACCACTATTCCTATGGCGTATCTTGAATTCCCAAAACCCCATGCAGGCCAAACTCAACATGTTCCGGGCATCTGCCAAGATGTATGTTTACAAAGGGAGTGAGAAAGTAATTCATGTTTTGAAAGAAGTTTATTTTACTATAATAATTCAATGCTATGCATGAATTAACAACCATGCTGGTGGGTGGGTGCGGGTGTATGCGTGCATTTGTGTTTTTCTCTACAGATGTGGCCTTCAGAAGAATCCCCTGCATACCAGCAAAGCACCTCAACCAGATAAGGAAGAGACCAAAGTGGAACAAGAAGAACATCTTCCCATCAAGCCTTTTTTGTGTGTTGTTCATTAGTATTTAATAATAACAAAATCTCTAAAAGATAACTAGTCTGTCTCCTATATGTTGGCAGTTACTACTGGCAACAATACATAGAGGCAGTTTAATCAATGGTTTACTACAAATCCGAGTCAGGAATCAACACAATTTTGTTGTGACAAGTTAAAACACGGCAGAAAGCGGTGTAGAAAAACATGTGAGTAGTGCTCATATCAAAAATGTTGCCTCAAAATCTCCATGATTCAAATAGCCCCTCACTGTACCCCACTAACAGCTGCTTACAATAGCTGGCTGGTACCTGGCTGCTCAAATTCAGAATCCAGGTGATCTGTTTTTATTGCACTCCTCCCCCCGGGAAACTTTTTACCTTTACCCTCCAAGTTTATTTAAAGTATAGCAGGCTGCTAAGACTATCAAGTGTTTCCTCATAAAGGCCTAAGTTCCATAAAAGCAGCACTGATGTACTTTTAATCTGTTAAAGGGCCATTTCACAGTGATTCTGCACCTGCTCAGTTTATTGTTACAGCACTCCTTGCTGCTGCCCAGATTTTCCCACATAAGGATTCAAGAGTCATGGGACTAAAGGGTATGCCAGTTCTCCTACGATCACTCTGGGCATTTCAACATGCCCCACTGGAATTTCTGGTCTGAAAACAAAAGGCATCTGGTGTAATTTTCTTTCTATGCCCACAGCAGGTCAGGCAACTCCAATTCCTATTCAGATTGGCAGCTGCTGATATACTGCATGACCATCAGCAATGTGTTCATAACAGTGACCTCAGCAGTAGAAAGCAGCACATGACAGAGGTGGCAGGTGCACAGTAAACAGAGGCTGTTGAAAAATGCCGTGAAATGGAGATGGAAATCCATGGAACGCTGAGATGGAAAGAACTGAATCATGGAATGTTCAGCTCAGCCCCAAGATGCTCTGCAATCAACTCTGCCTTTCCACAACTCCTAACTACAAAAGGCAGCGAGAAGCACAGTGGAATAACTACTCATAGTGCTCTACTCTCACTGTTGATGTTAAGAGTATTAAGAGTGGAAACGCTATGCTGAAAAAAGGAGCATAGTGTGTGCGCACACAAATGATGCAACTACCCCAGTTTTTGACTGTTGGCATAACCTGAGTTGACAAAATTCTATAGGTTTAAGACCCCATCCAAATGTTTTCTTCTTACGGCGATTATTTGTTAAGTCTGGATATTCTTCATATCCCGTCCTTTTGAATCTTGTTAAGTTTTCAGACTCATTGATAGCCTAGCATAACGAATTCCATGGTCTCATTACATCTTATGTGAAAAGGGTACTTCTGTTTGAATTTATCACCTTTTATTTGAATTTGCCATCTTTTCCAAGGAGTTTACTCTTCCACGCCAGTCAGACTTCAATTCAGTTACATCTCACTAATCCTAACAATTTACATGTTAGTTCTGTACATAATATAAGGAAGATATGGCCCAGACGTTATAGAAGTTAGCACACCCATGAAAAATGCAACGGGATTAAAAAACTGCTTGAATAATTCAGGATTGCGGCATTTATCAGAAAAGAGAATACAAATTTCAGGGGAAGCAGCTTGAAAGTCAGTACATTTTAAGCAAGTTAAAAACTATTTCAGGTCCTAAAGTAGACATAGTAAAATTTGATGCTTTTACAATCATGTAAGAAACTAGGGATGTAAACAGGTACCTGGTTAACCAGTTACCTGGTAAGCACACCAGATAACAGGTTAATTGGTTAACCAGTTAATCCTAAGGAACTCACTACAGCTGCCAGGATTCCCAGGGAATTCTTCCCAGGGGCTCAGAGTAGCGGGGAGATCCCCACCCCTAGCTCCTGGCCCCCACTACACTTCTCAGACTAGGGCTGTGTCCAGACTCGAGGGTTTTTTCGAAAAAAAGTAGCCTTTTTTCGAAAAAACTTCACCTGCGTCTAGACTACAGCCGTGTTCTTTTGAAATTAAATCGAAAGAACGCGGCTTTTCTTTCGACGGCGGAAAACCTCATTTCACGAGGAAGAACGCCTTTTTTCGAAAGTGCTCTTTTGAAAAAAGGCGTTCTTGAATGCAAACAGGGCTTTTTAGAAAGAGAGCATCCAGACTGCCTGGGTGTTCTCTTTCGAAAAAGCAGCTTGCTTTTTCGAAAGTACTGCTTGCAGTCCAGACGCTCTTTTTCGAAAGAGGCTTGAAGTCTAGACGTAGCCTAGGATAGGAGACCCTTGCAAATATGTGGAACCACTAGTAGCAATTAGCAAATTGCGAGGGTCTCCTGTATTTTCTTATTTTATAATTGTTTTCTCTTTCCACTGTTTCTGAGTAAATCATCAGCTACAAACAAAGGAAACCAAATAAGTATACAGGCAAAACAGTGAAACTAGGTTATCTGAACTGCCATCCAATCAACAGAATGTGATATAGAAAATAATTTTGCTTCAATAACATTCAGTTGTAGCCATCTTAAGTATTTCATTTATTAATATGGAGTGAAAATGTCAAAGAAAAATATGAAATTAAGTATCCTTTTTAAGATAATTTACAATTATAATTTATTCCTCCTAACCCCTTCTTTTCTGAGTCCTTAGCTGAGCACTCCTGCATTTCAATCTACTTTCCTGAATGCTGGCTCCCACTCCAACATAAGATCCCTGCAATACTGAACATCACTGATGCATTAGACTTCACATAAAGCAAGACCAGCTTTCCAATACATGCTGTTTTATATATAGTTATCTTATAACCTACTCAAAGGTTGCACAGTTATTATAATGAAATTAACTCCATACAAACGATTAATGCAAT